CCGACGCGAGTGACTACGGACGCTTCCAGCTATGGCATTGGGGCAGTCTTGGAACAGCACGACGGCGATGACTGGCACCCTGTGGAGTATTTCAGCCACAAAGTGCTTCCCATCAACTCGCTTGATGATGCAAGGAAGAAGGAGTTGCTCGCATTCGTCATGGCTCTCAAGCGATGGCGGCACTTCCACCTTGGGCATCGTAGGTTCACATGGGTCACGGACAACAATCCATTGACTTACTACAAGACGCAGGATACGGTGAGCAACACGATCGGACGATGGATGTACTTCATCGACCAATTTGACTTCACACCGAAACATCTGCTCGGCCTCTCAAATCGCGCAGCAGATGCACTCTCGCGAAGACCCGATCTTTGCGCTATGACACATCATGCCTTCGCATTCGACGAGGAGCTTCAGCGACACTTCATCCGGGCATATCAGTCTGATCCGGAYTTCGGCACGCTCTATGCACARCTATCTTCGGATCMCCSRYMGGCCAGCCATTACCGCATTGYSGACGGGTACTTGCTCCTCCACTCGAGAGGCAAGGACTTACTATGTGTCCCACGCGACCGTCGTCTTCGGACTCGCCTCCTTGGCGAGTATCATGATTCACGACTCGCCGGCCATTTCGGAGTCAACCGCACWATTGCACGGCTTCGACAGCGATTCCGATGGCCCGGCCTCATTACCGATGTCACTCGGTATTGCGACTCTTGCGAAGTTTGCCGACGCAGCAAGCCCCRCAACCGCAATCCCTACGGCGAGTTACACCCGATGCCTATCCCACGGGAACCCGGTCTCTCCATTGCCATGGACGTCACCGGTCCGTTTCCTCGCGACCGGCTCGGGCACGACGGCATCCTCACGGTTGTGGACCGATTGAGTAAGTACGTGCGTTTTCTCCCTTGCAAGTACTACTCCACGGCTCCCGAGCTGGCACGCCTCCTGCACACTGGTTGGATTTGTGGCCACGGTGTACCAGAAGACATTGTCAGCGACCGCGACACTCGTTTCATCTCGGCGTTTTGGACTGCTCTCATGCAGGAGTCCAGCACAACAATGAAACCAAGTTCGGCTCGACATCCTCAGACAGACGGGCAGACGGAGCGGGCACATCAAACCACTCAAATGATGCTTCGTACGCTCATTCGTCCGGACCAGAAAGATTGGGTTGACCGCCTCCCCGACATCGAGTTCGCCTACAACACTTCGGTGTACCCGGCGATCGGCGTGACTCCATTCGAGTTGCACCACGGTGGACGGAAAGGCCGCATCTTCGCCGACCTTCTCCTCCCTCGACCAGCCGACATTGACGCCGCTTGCTCCCCCGCTTCCGTTCGGAAGTACAGGGACTTGCTGACTCAAGCCCGCGCAAATATGCAAAAGGCTCAAGTTCGCATGCAGCAGCAAGCCAACAGGCGTCGCGTACCATGTCCCATCCGCGCCAGTGATCTGGTTTGGGTCTCCACGGAAGAGTTTGCACTGGAACAGGACGTTTCACGCGAACTGCTTCCCAAGTGGTTTGGACCTTGGTCTGTGACAGCAGCCGCGGGCGATGAGCCCGATGGCCCTTCATTTGTGATCAACATTCCAGAGCATCTGACGGTCCATCCGGTCTTCCACGCCTCGAAGCTGGCAACATACACGCCAGCCAAGAGCGACGACTTTCCGGGCCGACGATCGCAGGACCCTCCTTCTATGGATGGCCATCAGGAAGTTGACCGCGTCATCACCGATCGCAAGTATGGCAGCAAGCCGCGGCAGTACGAAGTCACATTCAAAGCATGCGATCGTGACGACACTCGGTGGATTTCAGGAGCAGATTTGAAAGCATCCGCACCGCTGATCTACGCTCACTATGAACGTCAAAGGTTAGCCAAGGGACCTCCACGACCTGCCCCTCCCACCCGGACTGTGGTCCCTCCCTCAGACAGACAGCTTCGCCCTCGCAGGTAAGCTCGGTCTTTCAAGGAGGGGGGGGGTGTGGCAGACTGCGTAGCCACACGGGCCCTGTAGGACCCGTCCCGGACATTCAGCCTTAAAGCCTAAAACTTAGGAGCTACAGGCCCCGGTCGTTTCAGCCTGAAAACTGAAAAACGAGGGCCTGCAGGCCCTACTCCGTTTCAGCCTATTTCTGGGTCTTTCAGACCCAGAGTTTTTCCAGCCTGAAACGGAGGGCTATTCTTAGGCCCTGGGCTATTTTTAGGCCCTCATTTGTTTCGACCTGCCCTAAGATTCAGGCACGAAAACTGGGTTTTGGAACAGGCTATTTCTGGCCTGTTCCACGCCAGCTCGAGCAGGAGCTGCAGCTGCAGCCCCTGCCTCCCTGCGGCATTATTGGCAAGAGCACGAGCAGGAGCTGCAGCTGCAGCCCCTGCCTCCCTTCGGCATTATTGGCAAGAGCACGAGCAGGAGCTGCAGCTGCAGCCCCTGCCTCCCTTCGGCATTATTGGCAAGAGCAGCCTCCTGGACTGCTCGCCCGAGTCAGGAGGCACCCGTGATAGTACATAGGAGCTTCAGGCACTGAACGGGTAGGCAGTTGGAGAGTAGGACGGTAGTCTTCAGATTTCGGCCGCAGCACTTAGGAGGAGCGCTGCAGTAGTCTTCAGCGCTAGGCAGTAGTAGTAGCGCTAGCTGTAGTCTTCGGCGCTGGGCGCCATAGCCATAGCAGTGGTCTTCAGCGCTGGGCGCTGTAGGTGGTAGGTAGTAGAGTGGGGAGAGACACTGGCGGAGGCCAGTGGTACGTACCTGTGGCGCCATCGCTCCAGCTCCATCTTCGAGGTACCTGCATCAAGGCGCCAACTTCACAGGTTAGGATACATGGAAATACCGAGATAGAAATCAGGGGGTAAGGGGCATAGAGATAGTAAGAGGCATAGAGATAGCCAAAACCAAGGTATGAGGGGCAAGAGTGTCACAGAGCACTGCCAAAGGCGGGTTAAGCAGGACAAGATGGACAGGATGAGAGCACGACTAAGGACACAGTGTGATGACCGAGTGACACGTGGGCCTGGAAATGGTAGAGGTCTGATAGGCGGCCTGAGGAACTGTAGGGGAGGCCCTTCCCCTCACCTCGCCTCCCCGAGGGCCATCCTGCTGTGTGTCTGCTAGTAAGCCTCCCGACCAGCATGGTGGCCCCCGGAGAAAGGCCATGGTTTGTTGTGGGTGGGGGGACCCCTTTTCCAGCTCCCCCCTTGCCAGGTGACTAGTACCACAAGGGTTAGGCTGTTCCCCTTCTCTGGTCTGATCCCCCCCCTTTGCCTCTGGATGTACAAACATGCTTGCCGGTGATAAGCAACCGGACTGCTGCCCCCCAGAATAGAAGGGGCCATTGTGTTTTTTTTTTTTTTTTTTTTTTTTTTTAACCACCGGTACTTGGCCCAGCTATTGGCCGTGGGGAAAAAAAGAGTAGAAACGTTTCTACTCTGACGAATTTGGGCGCTCCTGTAGTGACCCGTACATTTCCTGAAATTGTGGCTTGTTAACAGGCATGACTTTAGGAAGTACCGGTGGTTTAAGGGGAAAAAAGAAAAGAAAAGAAAAAGAAAAATTGAAAATGATGCATGGGCGGGTGACTGATATCCATAGCTAAGAAGCCTCTGTACCTTTGAAGACCTAAGGAACCTTCTATAAGCCTATAAGCAATGCACCTAGGACCTAGAAAAAAAAGCATGCCCCGAAAACTTTGACTCTGGATCAAGGCCCCACTTACTCAGATTCTCTGTCTCTGATCGTCGATCCCTCCAGTCCATGGTCCAGAATGAAGAATCAGCTGTCCCGGCAAGTGAGACCTCGCCCTTGGTCTTTGCGTCTAGAGTGTCGTCAGAGCCTTCAAGAACGTATCTCTACGTATGGTTAGGAGAAAGATATCGGTGTGGAATTCTATATATCTAGTTTTGAGCAAGATGTTGGCCCAAAGGTAAGGCAGGGAGGGGTGTTTGCTCTCCTACTCAATGTAGGGTCGACTCCCGACTGTAAGTGTGTATTCCCATCTATTCTTAAGCAGAAGCCGAAGAACCAGAGACCAGAGGCTGGCAGCAGTCCTAATGCTTAAAGAAGGCATGTGCTCACACCACAACTGTCCTGGTTGTATCGGTGGTGCACCGCGTGCACCTGATTCAGTCCAGAAATAAATATGAACCTGCGTGTACGCCCAACCTAAGCCTGGAACGACAAACTAAAAGCTTTTTTGTCGAACGTGAAATTCAACGTTCTGCTTCGACCGCCAGTTGTCCTTGTCCTTATCACTTTTGTGCCAGATCTGATAGCTGAAGCTATCGCAATGGTTGCCATGATGATTAATTTGCTGGAGCGGAACTCTCTAGTTTTTATTAGAACAAAAAAGAATTACATATTATGATTTATCACACGGAATTACAAGTGGATGAAATCGGTCGAGTGGTTCCAGTAGGAGAAGATGGAGTTGCACGTGTTTATTGGACTGGCAGGTGCCTGAATGTCTCATCAGTGCACCTGATGTGCAGTACTGGCCTTGCTTAGATGTTTTTTGAACCTTTTTGAAGTTTTTTTTCATATTTCTCCGTGTCATGCAGTTGCCGGAATTTTGTTGACGCACTTTCTTCCTTGAAAATTGTGATAAGATAAGAAAGGATGGAGTGTGGCTCAAATTGATCAGCTTGTAATCGTTGACTAATTTGGGGAACCAGGTGATAGTGAGCCCGTTCAGTATTGTTACCACCTCCAGGATAGAGGGATATCCCAAAGGGCTATTAAAAAAAAAAAAAAAAAAAAAAAAGTGAGCCCGTTTAGTGTCGCTCTGTCTAAGCCCCGAGTCGTATAACCCGTTTAGTGTCGCTCTGTCTAAGATACAGGAAGAAGAAGAAATACAAAAAGTTAAAAGTTTGAACCAATGTCAAGAGAGGAAAGATAGCAACTCTCGATGCAAGCTAAAAGATTCCTCATCTGCATCATGTGGGCCACAGGAGAGAGCAATTGCATTGGTAGTGCGATGGACTTCCACAAGGCGAGAACACGCTCTTTAAGAGCTCCAAACACAAAATCCTCGTAGTAGGCGGAGAGGGAAACCGGCCCAGCCAGGAGCTGAACTGCAGTCACTAATCGATGGCAGAGGGTGCGGCCTCTCCACAACCGGATTTCTGGGAAGTGCCGGCTGAAGCTCGAGACTCTGCCGAGACAACGAAATGCTCGTGGCAAATACTGCAACCTTATCGAGGTCGTTTCGGATGCTTGAAGAAAGAGTTGAGCCTAGACGGTCGTAACAAGTGCTTGTTTTTGAAATTTGAATCTATGGTGTTAACTTAATTCTACTGTCTACTTTTCTTCTCAAGTTCAGCAAGTTTTGCGCAGTCTCAGATTTGAGAGTGTTTTTTTTTTTCCCATTGTGAATGAGGTATAGTATCACGACACTCCGCTGTATCCACTCAACCTAACCATGAGCTGGTTTCATGATTTGATGACGTCACTAGACTTTTTCGTCCTTCTGATGGTTGTCTTTCACATGCAGAAGCCAATAGATGTCCCTCTGTAGATTCTGTACCAAAAAAATAAAAAAAGATGTCCCTCTGTACCAGCTGTCGTAAAGCCCATTTGTTGCTTGCCTCTCTACTTGTGAAGTAAAGTGCGGCGACCTAACGGGCCCATCAACGAAACGAGAACATGCAATACAAAATGAAAAAGGAATGGTTATTTCAGATTGTTTATATGGATGCGCTGCAGAGCCTTGGCACTACGGATTTCAAGATGCAGCCACTCCTATGATGCCAGGAATTATTGAGTGCACCCAGGTCGCAGATCTCGATTGCAGGGCGGCTCCAGCTCTGCCACACCATCTCAAGCTGGCCCAGGCCAAGGGTGTGAGCTACACGTGCATGGTATGCCTAGTGATAGGTCATGGCCAATGTGTTTTCGACGGGTAGGCAGAAGACCTGCAGCAGTTTTTCGGAGAAAGGAGGAAACAGTGCAAAGGTGGATGCAAGTGTGAGAAGCCCTCCTAGTTCGTCACACCACCTAGTGATGCCACTAAACCTGCAGCACAGGTTCGGCCTCGCCCCTGGTTTTTCCGCAGCCCAAGGGATGGACAAGAAGAACCTTGTTGACAGGGGGTGTGGGGAAGAGGGAGGGGGGATGGCAGAGTGTGGCAGGTGGGGGTTTGCCCAATTTTCCAGGAGGTACTGGATAGTCTTGTTGGTGGTTTTAACTTGTGAACGATTGTTGGTCTTCAAACCACATGGGTTTAAACTTTAAACCAACAAGCAGTGTTGCACACCCCGACGGTCGGCGCCCCTTGACTGGTCGGATGCCGACCAGCCGACCGGTCAGCTGGTCGGCGTCTACCGGTCGGAGGTCGTCGGCACTCTGCAAAAAAATAAATAAATAAATAAATAAAATAATAATTTCTTTTTTTTGGGTCCAGAACCCCCAATAACCCCACCAACGCCCCCATACCCGCCCCCAATACCCCCATACACCCCCTCAAACCCCCCAAGCCGCCCCCCAACACCCTCATACCCCCCCCCATACCCCCCCCATACCCCCTAGACCACCCCTATACTCCCTATACCCCCTATACCCCCCCTATCCCCCCTATCCCCCCTATCCCCCCTATCCCCCCTCCCCAACCCCCCCATAGCCTCCCCCCATCCCCAAAAGTTTCTCAGCGGATTTGGGCTGTACTCAGCAAGCGCAGTACATCCCCCAACTCAGGAAAAAAAATAAAATCAGTGGATGCCACTAGATGGATGTTTTCTGACTGGTCGGCAGACCGCCGACCAGTAGCCGACTGGTTGGCCCCACTGGTCGGCTGCATTACGGTCAGCGGCAGGGGTTGGCGGTCAGCAGCTATGCAACCCTGCCAACAAGGGTTTAAAGTTTTAAACTTTAAACTTCAAACCACTGATGCCCTTGCTGGTTGTTAAACCATTGTAGGGTGGAATCCTTCCTGAACGTTTGCCAACGCTGCAACGCAGAACCAAAATGTAAGATATCATATAACTTCTTTTGTTTTCTTGTTTTTTATTTGTCTCGATTTATGCGTGTAATTCTTGCGCATGGGCCATGCTAAAGTTC